GGGTCATTTGAACACACAAAGCCTTATTAAACTAAAAGATTACGCGGACACTATTAATTTTACAGATAAACAATCAAATATCACTTGTGAAATTTGTATTCAAGGTAAGCATGCAAGGGATTCTTTTCCTTAAAATCCTGCAAAAGAGTTGGCTAAAGAAAATTTGGCTTTGATTCACACTGATGTATGCGGACCATTACCAGTACAGTCTGTTGGAGGTAAGAGATATTTTCTGACGTTCATCGATGATCATAGTAGAAAGGTCTTTATTTACTTTTTAAAAAATAAATTTGAGGTTACTTCTATAATAAAAGAATTCATTACTATGGTTGAAAATCAATGTGCACGTAAAGTTAAAGTTATTCGTTCTGATAATGCTGGGGACTATTGCAATCAGGATTTGAAAAATTATTTTAAGCAAAAAGGTATCTGTCACCAGTTAACTGTAGCCTATACTCCCCAACAAAATGGAGTCGCAGAGCGAATGAATCGCACAATCCTGGACAAAGTTAGGTGTATGTTGTGCGAATCCGGATGCGATATGAAGTATTGGGCTGAAGCAGCTCATACTTCAGTTTATTTAATAAACAGGTCACCAACCAAAAAGTTAGCCAATACTGTACCTGAGCAGGTCTGGACTAACAAACCTGTTGATTATAGTAATTTAAAAGTTTTTGGTTGTGATGCCTATGCACATATTATTAAAAATAAACGACATAAGCTAGAACCAAAAAGCAAAAAATATATGTTCGTGGGATATGATGATTGTTCAAAAGCATACAGATTATTAGATCCAACTACTAATAAAATCACTTTATCTAGGGATGTAAAATTCATTGAAAATCAATTCTCTTTCCAAAACTCTTCAACTCATGAGCAAATATTATCTTTCCCTTATTTAGAGGACACGGAAAGTATAACTGTTGAGAATGAGAGTTCCGGAATGGCACCCCTGGATAATGTTGATGGTGCTGGAGATCCAGGTACTACTGTGCTCAGCAGTAATAATAGAGGTACTGGAAGTTCAACTCTAATCGAATCAACCACGGATAGTCCTACTGAGGAGGAAGTTCATAGAAGATATCCTGCAAGGCAGCATCACAAACCATTGCGGTATGGTGATTCAATTATAAATTTTTGTGGCGATCACCTAGAACCTACGACGTTGAAAGAAGCTCTCAGCTCGCCTGATGCTAAGCAATGGAAAGAGGCTATGCAAGCCGAATTGGATGCTTTCCATCAACACGAAACGTGGGTATTAGTCGATCGACCGCCGAACAAAAATATTGTACAGAACAAATGGATTTTTAAAATCAAACGAGACGCTGAAGGTAAGATCTCGCGCTATCGCGCTCGTCTTGTTGCCAAGGGGTACACACAATGTAAAGGTGAGGATTACTCTGAGGTATTTTCTCCTGTAGTTCGGTACACTTCGTTAAGAGTTCTTTTTTCTATTGCTGTTCAACTTAATTTTGATATTGAACACTTAGATGTTCAAACGGCGTTTCTTAACGGAGAATTGACGGAGGAAATCTACATGGCACAGCCAAGTGGATTTATAAAACCAGGCGAGGAGTCCAAAGTATGTTTGCTCAAAAAAGCTATCTACGGGCTTAAGCAATCTTCCCGTGCATGGTTTACTAGGGTAAAAGACGTTTTATTGTCTCTTCAATATAGGCAGTGTAATACTGAACAATGCATTTTTGTGAAACGGGCGGGAGAGAGCATTTTGTTTATTTCGTTATATGTCGACGATTTTTTCATAATGTACAATGACCAAAATATGGCTATTTCACTTAAAAATGCATTGTCAGAAGCATTTAAGATCAAAGATTTAGGGAAACTTAATAATGCTTTGGGTGTTCAAATCACACATGACAAAGTCAAACGCGAGCTGTCTCTAAGTCAAGAGCAATATATTTTTAGAGTCTTAGATAAGTTTGGGATGACTGACTGCAAACCTGTCAAGACACCCTTAGAAACTAATTTAAAACTTACACCTAGTAACACAATTTGTGACGACAAATATCCATACAGGGAGCTAATTGGCTCAATAATGTATTTATGTCAAATGAGTAGACCTGACTTAGCATATAGTGTTACTTATCTGAGTCAGTTTAATAACTGTTATTCAGAAGAGCACTGGGTCGCAGCAAAACGTGTGCTCCGATATTTAAAAGGTACAATAAACATGAAATTAGTTTTTAAAGCTGATTCTTTAATTAATACTTTTAATATAACGGGGTATACAGATGCGGATTGGGCATCTGATGTAGATTGCAAATCCTTCACAGGATATATCTTTAAAGTTAATAATAATACTGTATCCTGGTGCTGTCAAAAACAAACATGTGTAGCTTTGTCCTCCACAGAGGCGGAGGACATAGCACTAAGCGAGGCTTCAAAAGAAGCTATGTTTTTTAAAACAGTTTTTAGACGAACTTTTAAAAATTCAAAATTCTGTTAATATTTACAATCATAACAAAAGTATTGAATTATTTAATGATAATCAGTCAGCCCATAAACTAGCTTATAATCCTGTATTCCATAAACGTACAAAGCATGTCTCAGTACGCTATCACTTTGTACGTGACGCTGTAGCAAATAATTATATCAAAATATTGTACAAGCCTACAAATGAAATGATAGCTGATATTTGTACCAAGTCCCTGCCATATCCTAAACATAAAGTTTGCACCAATAACTTGTCGCTTTGTATTTAAAGTTAAAAGGAAACATGTTGTGTTAGCGATAGTTTTAAAGTACAGTCAGCTAATGAAATGTTGCACTTTGCACTAATGTTGCCAATTAAGTTTAAGGGGGCGTGTTGTAGAAATAAGTTTCTATGCTATGTCTATAGTTCGGAAACTTTAATTGTCAACTCAACTTTTGAAAGTTTAAAATATATTCTCTTGTCATCTCACTGACTGATGTGGCTTTTTATTTTCGGTAATATTTAAATTTTATTTTACAAAATCTATCAGGTTTACTGTGTACTTAAAAAAACGCATTTTTTTTATTCAACTGTTTTCATGACATGCGTGGCCGAGTGATTTGTACGCCGGGTTTCATAGTGTCAAGAGGTCCCGGGTTCGAATCCCGGTGGGGGCAGATGTTTGTGTGATGAATAAGAGCATTTATACTCCAGTCATGGATGTTTAAATGTATTTCTATATAAATATATTTACATATGTAATATATATGTATTCTATCCGTTATTTAGTATCCCCATAACACAAGCATTACACAACATTACAGTAATTACTTTGGGGCTAGGTTAATTGGTGTAAATTTTGGTAAAAAAAAATATACTCACCACAAAAGTCTAAGCAACATGAACTTTTTTGAAGTTTTGACCGATGTTTTATATTTTTAATACTTTATATTATTTTGATCATAATAACTAATCTGATTTATTAGTGCATCAATCAAAAAAATATGAATAAATTATACACACACACACAATGATAATATAAAATATCAACTAATAAAACTTGTAGTTTGCGTAAATGATGCATGTTGCCTACTCTTTTGATCAACTGAAAAGAATTATCTCACCACAAATGTTCATGTTGGTTGCCAACCCTAGACATATGGCTGGCATTGTCAAAAAGTTATCGGATCTCATGTAAGTAGAACCAAGCTTCAAACTCTAGACACCCTTACTTCACAAAGTCAACTTAAGAATCAAATATCTGTCTGATTTAAGAACAAGCTTGCCGTTCCATGTTTCAGACTCCAAAAATCAAGAGGTTCATTTCTGGGATGTAGTATTGCATTGTTTAACAAAGCTCCCCAAGATCTGATTGAGCTTCCACTAACCAAATTTAAATCTCAGATTAAGAATACTCTTATGAATAAGGGCTATTATAAAGTTAATGATTATCTAAATGATCGTAATGCATGGACATAGTGTTTCTTGTAATTTCTTATTTGATGGGTATGAGTCAGTTTTGTAACAGTAGTATGTTACCTATCTAATGCCGCTTCCTATATATACTAAATATAAAATTTGTTGTAACTATATATCTATACCCTAAATAATGTAATGGAAGGTGACTTCAGAAGTATGTCTGAAGTCATTTTTCAACTTGACGACTCTGTATATATCAATACAGGGAGAAAAAAGCAGCCCTTGCTGAGTTTCTTGCCGGTTCTTCTCAGTACAAGGTCTCCCGCCGTAGTTTTGCGAACCGATGGCGTAGCTTCTTGACTTTCACAAGTGCTTGTAACAGCCTAGACTGAATAAATGACTTTTCATTTCATTTCAGTAACTTTATTTCTTTTAAATTTATATTTTTTTAATATTACACAGTTAAATCTTTTTTTTTCCTGCTTTTTGTAATTAAGTATCCTATTGCGCCATGCTTAGACGTCAAAAGAAATAGCATTATATAAGACTAGCAAACCAGTGAACCAAATGTTCACCAAAACCTGATTAAAAAAAAATGTATTTAATTAATTGAGAACTTCGGAGATTTTGTGTGGTTTCGTTTGAAATTCGTGATTTCTCGAAAACCGGAAGTGCTACGTTACTCAAATCCGGTTTGTAGTCTTATCAGACTATTCTTAACTTATAACTTAAATATTCTCTTTATCTATCTCTTACGGTTTGGCCGCTGAAACAGCACCACAGACAGACGGACGGACGGACGGACTTGTCTAATAGATAAGAGATTCTGCAATGATAAACCAGTTAGGCTAAGAAAAGGTCTTCCTCATAAGATATCCTAATCCTTACCTTAAAAAACTACTGAAACCATTTAACGAATTAGACTGTTGCAATAATTTAACTTATCGATTCAAAATAATTAGGTAAAGCAGTTTTCTTTTGTGAATCAATACATCCGGAATTAATTAGGAATATGCAGTAAGTTTGAATTAAAATTTGTATTGCCACCGCCGGTACACGGGTACATACATAGTATAAAAATCAAACCATCAAAAAGTGTAAATAACGAAAAAGAAAACTTTATTTACAACAAGACAAGAGTTGTGTGTTAGACTGATAAACTAATCGAGACATTAAAGTCGTGTGTATGACATTTAACCATTTTGTGATTAAAAACAAATATTTAATGTTAAAACCAATAAGTCATCTTTAAACTTCCATCTATATCCCTCTGTGTTTCTAAAGTGCTCGACTGGCGAACCAATTTACGCATCGAACTCCGTCTTAATGAGGGTAATTCCGGTACCTCATCTTCTCGCACCAGTGGCGCCTGTGTTAATTCCAAATGATCCAAGTTTTCATATGATTCTGAAACGGGGGTTTCCCTAAAATAATAATGATTAACTTTTAGTTACGTTATTACTTTTCAAATAGTCTTTTAACATAATGTTTAAAACAGTAAAAATCATTTTTCGTTATTATTACCTTTGAACGCCGCACACGAAGCAATCTTTAAAAGTCCAATCTTTGCCAAACTCTTCTCCTTCTTCTGCTGTTTGTGGCAAAGATGTGTGCAGAGTTTCAGGCAGGCGCAGACACGATAATCCACCGATAACTGATAGTACTCCCATCACCACCAGGGGCAAAACTAAGTTGCTGGAGCCCTAGAAACCGGTATTTTCATTAGGTAATTCCCATTCCTACTTAAAGTGAATGAATGCCATATGAAAAGTAAGAAATGATTAGATGTTCTCATACATACTATACTAAAAATATATCGCAATAACGCATCTGGTAGTGTGGATAATCTTTATAGGTTTATAATTTAATTTAAGTAGGTCCTATTTCTTATGCATTATTGTACTAAAATATGTATTAGCTTTATGTACTCCTCCAAGTTATAAACTTTAATAGGGATGATGTCGCGGTAAATTAAAAGAACTTCTATTTCTCTTGACCATCGGTTAGAGGTAGATTATCACAAAGAAAATGGTTAATAAAAAAATCAAAAAACCCGACTACTAAAATAAAAAGTGAAAAGAAAAAAACAAGTTCAGTAGTCTATTAATTCTGTTAAGTAAAAGTCTTTTGGGTTTGTTCTTTTTAGTAGTTTAGGAGTAAATATAAAATTCATTTACTTTCGTTGACGTATCTAAAATTGGCAGTGGGTGCATTGTCAACGTCCGGCTCTAAGATTGTGATATACAGAAATTCAGTGTGATATCCTAATCCAATAATTTGTTTTACCTACGTCATTCAGTCACTAAAATAATATATAATTAACAGAAACTAAATATTATGCGGATGCCAGAGGTTAATATCCAACGTTTTTAATTTCCCTATATACAATACCAATCAATGACATGTCGCAGATTCATGAAAGCAATAATTCCCGTCCGTTGTTTGGGACACTGGTGGCAACTGCCTTAGATCGCTAAATTAAGTAATTATACAATCACCAAAGCAAAGTTTATAAATGTATAGTTTAACTAAAGGCATAGAATAAATTCTTCATAGCGTTAGGTACAGCATCATAGCAATCTCATCAATTTACATCTTTGTCGTTCTCCTTTAAGAGCCCTTATACAAAATTGCGCCGCTGCCGTACTGATCGGCGCGTAGGTAGATTTGCACTAGTAAATATTGCATTTTACGGGAGGTGTTTCGAGTCTTATAAAATATTTTTTAATGAACAAATTATAAAAACAATACATATTTCAGAAGTTCAATGACAGTAGATTAGTTTTATGAAAGTTTTTGATAGTAATTCTATTTAATTCAATATCAAAATACGAGGTAAACCTGCATTATTTTTTGCGAAAACTCACGGAGGTTAGATGTTTTTTTTTATAGTGAATGAGATGGAAAATCAAAATTCTAATACATTATGTTACAACAAAAACATATTTCCGATGTTGTAGTGATTAATTTGATCTAATTTATTGAACATTATTGAGAGATCGAGGCGTTTGAAGTTGTGCATATTATCGTTTTTTCCGTAAACTAGCTGCAGTAGAACGATCAGTACAAAAAAAGGAAAATGGTATTTGCCAATATTCTACATTAACTTACAATAGGAAGAATTAATCTACTGTTTACTTCTGTTGGAAATAGTCAAAATATTTTTAAGGGGGTAAACGAGGCGCTCAAAAATTACGTCTTTTTGCAAAAAATGTGAAAGGGCTCTTAAAGCATTCAGCAGTTATAGGTCACAAGCTTACTGGTCTACCCTTTTTTATAGGTAGTGTAAAGCTCGAATAAAGAGTACTTCCACCTATCAATCAGGTTGCTACCAGGCTAGTAGGTATTGCAAACCGTGCAATCATTAAAATTATTTTCCAAATACTTTTTCTACCTATAAACAAAATAAGAAGTATGTATAAATTTGCTCGTTGTTCGCAATCAGTCTTTACCAAAAATGCTAAGTAACTTTTACAAATATTATCAGAACAACCTATTTATTAGTTTTTTTAAAATCTTTTTCATCAATGAAACATTATTATCCTAACTATCTACACAAATATTATAAAAAGGTAAGAGTTGTATGTTTGTAACAAATAATCTCCCAAACTAATGAACCGATTTCGAAATTTCGTTCACCATAAGATTAATAATTCCAATACAGTTGATTAATCTGCACATTTTATAATCAAAAGAAAATTTTTACTTGAAAAAAATCAAATCTGACAACTTCACCGAGGAAATTTTTATAGTTAAAATTTTCGTTATAACTATATTATATCCGAGAGATATAGGCTATATTTTATCGCGTTAAAATAAATTTCGACGGATCACTATTATAATATAATATTATAGATACGAAAGTGAGTTTGTTTTTTACGCTTTCCTGTTCTAATAGTTAAATTGATTATGATTTATTTTCCTATAGAAATAGATGGGACCTTGGTTCTATTCTAAGCTACATTATCAAAATACATATAGGGGTAGGTAATGGAATGAGGTGATTTTCATATAAAACTTTATGTTATTTGCTTCGAATTTTGCAGAATTGTCGTTTATAATTATAAAATCAACATTATCGCAAACTGATAAATAAAGACAGGGAGTCCGTAAAGTATGTATCTACTCGCGATTAAAAGGTTATTTCTCATTATGTTGAGTAACGCTTTAGTAACATGAATTAATGTCGTTGAAATAAACTTTGAAAACAGTCTAATTTATAGATTTTCATTAATTTCAATAATCATAAATACCTATCATAATTTTTTATTTTTCATTATATAATAAGAAGAAACTTTATCACAGTTTTATTGTAAGTACTTCGTATAGGATTAGATACTGAGAGTAGCCCATTTTTTTCTTTTCCTCATAGGTTTTATCTACTGTTATAAACACCAAAATTCATCAAAATTTCTTCTCTGACCATTGCATAGTACATCGCGCTATCACTTTTTCATTGTTGCAACTTTTTAAATATTTGTCGAAATGACATAGTGTAAAAGGAAAAGTTTATCGTCTTTACATAAAAGAAGCGATAAAATTATTTGTTTTGTTAAAAAATGTGCATTTTGGAAATGGATATCAAATAATACTTTATTTTTTATTCTCTATTTTATCGCTAATGGCTTACACATTAAACAATAGATATATGCTGTCGCGGACTTTTTTGTAAAACTATTTAAGAGATATAATATTTCCACTTTACATCATATTCATGTAACTTTTATTGATTTTGCTGTGTAGGCCAAAATGGCTCGCAGATGGGAGACTTCTTCTTAAGTACGTGACACTTGTTTTTATATTTTGCCCAATTCACTCATTAACTACATAAATTATTATCTATATGTTATTATCATTTATTATTGTTAAGTTTCATTAAAATCCATTCAGTATTTTTTGGGTGAAAGAGAACATAGATCCATTCAAACGTAACATAGAAATTAAAAGCGCAAGTGGTTAATATACAACTTTTAATCGTTGTAGATCCTAAAAGTCATATAAAAGAAAATAAATTGGTTTTCTGTAAAGTCGGTTTACTGACGACAGTTGAACGTGACGTTTTTTACAATGTATATAGTTCTGTTCAATATTAATTAAATGTCACGAAATAGTTCTGTTAACTTATTGTTAAAGTTTTGTCAAATAAAGCATAACCTACAATTGCTGCACTAGCGGACCGATGCTATTTATTTTAATGATTAAAGCACATACACACAACATAAATTTAATATCGAAAGAATCATTACCTTTATCGCCGCAATTATCGTTGCTATAAACAATTGACACCACATTCACTTTTCACGGCACTTCATACTTGACGAAAACATGTAAATGTATTATTGCATAGCAGCTGTCCACGCGGACACATCGCTCACTCAAGTAGGAGAGAGACAGATGTCTAACGCAGCCGAACGCGGAGGCCGATTGTGCCTCTTTGTCATTGCGCGCTCTCGCTTGCACTTCAAGCCTTAAATGGAACGCCTCACAGCGAGGTAACGCCGCATGAGTCATGTTTTTCGTGCGTGCAGCCAGCTCCATCGAATTATAAGACGTTGTCACGTCAAAATGGTGTAAGGAACCTCAACATGATTTTCCATTATCTAGACAATGATATCACTCGATATGTTTCGCCAACTAATATTTTTTTCTTCCTCACATTATGGCGCCTAATTTTGAATTTTGATTTGATTGACGAATCGATTGACGTATGAATCATCAAAATTAGTCCACGAGTTTGGTCTCTAGTGTACAAAGGAACATTATAGACTGTTAAACACTATACCCTGCCTGCGCGTCGCGCTTCGCGCTCTTGCATTGCGCAGTCGGGTAAAAGTAATGGACACCTATTTTTTACCCGATTGCGCAACGCAAGGGCGCGAAGCGTACAGGTAGGCCTGAATTTTCGCAAAAATGTGTGAAGATAAATCAAGTCGTTACCTAGTTTAATTTTATTCTACGCCTTAAGTTTAATCAAATAATATTAACTTTTTATAATTATTTTATTTAGCGATCTAAGCCAGTTGCCACCAGTGTACAGTGTATGTAAGCAGTCGGGTTTTTTGATTTTTTTTAATTTACCTTTTTTTTAATCTACCGAAAAAAATTTAGTCATCATCATTATTATGCTTAAATCTAACGTGTGTAAAATGACCTTGAAAATGGGCATGAAATGAACGTTAAGATGTAATTTTTTATGTGAAACTACAATATCGATCGAGTTATCTACAATCACTAATTACATAAGTATTAATGAAGACAAACATTTTTTAATATTATAAAAAGACATCACTCAGATAGAAAGAAGAAAAAGATGAAGATTGTGGGTTGAAAGAACACTTGTAAAATAATGGCTAACCGCCTGTCATGTCAAAGAGTTTAGCTCAATCTGAGCACTGTTCACAGTTTTTAAGATAAGAAGAACTAGAAGAGGAAATCTGATAATATTGATACGAGTGTTCTAGAATTTAACAATACACTACAAAATGTCATGGAGATACTCCGTGATCATGGCGATTGCAACATTGCCGAAATATCAGGGACTCGCAATAAAACAACATACATGGTAGCAGTGCCGCTAATATCCAAAAATATTGTAATATTAGTGACCATGAAAGTTTAAACAATACAAATATGTTATTAAACAAATAATGGTGAAATGTAGAATGACAGTTCGATAATTATACATGGGTATGAATAAACGCAACTATTTTTGGCTTACCAAATAATTTACAAACGGTATAATGATTAGACCCAGGCCACCTATATATGCTGAGGTACCAATTCCAATTCCGCGTAACTCTGTTGGGTATAGTTCTCCAGCATAAGGATATATTATCAAAAAAGATGCAGATATAAAACATTTGGATATCAAGTAGAGAATAAGGGTTTCCGTTAAAGCATCTGTAAATTCAAATTGTGGCTAACTAATAAGGTTTTATTAGTTGAATGTTAAGACGACGACGTTAATTTTCATTTTAAAATAAGTACCTAACAAGTTAACAAGTTTGAAATTTTCGTATTTTATGTCTTATCTAAGTAATGTTAGTACATATCACGTCAACAACACATCAGATTACCACAAAGTCTCAAAAGGAGATGACCTAACTCTGATTTGAGAATATCTCAATTTACATACAGAACATAATGCAAAATATCTCTCAAACTCCACTATTTACTGCAATAAAAGTACTTCAAATAAAATGTCAGAATATTTTGTGTTTCGTAATTTATGCAACGTTATGTTTCGTTTGTATTTGGAGCAAACAATATTGTTTATGGATACTAAATGTTCATCTCCTTTTCTTGATGAATGAAACTGCAAATCAGTAAGTCTGACTGTTTTGGATAACTTGACCTGCTCTTGATTGTACTCACGTGGTTAAGCTACATTTTTATTACATACCAGTAGGAAGCAATACTGTAGTGATGCAGAATATCCCACTTATAACCATTGAGAGGCACAGTGGCCACCTTCTACCGACTCTATCCATTAAAACCCAGCACACGAGATAGCTTGGTATTTCTACAGCTGATGAGAGGAAAAAACTTATGTACTGATTACTTCCAATAGCAGGTCCGTAGTAACTGAGCCCAACATAGACCATTTCTGAGGCACACCAGTTTAAAGTGATTAGACATGTTTTTAGTCTCATATTAGGTGTCTTGAATAGGGCAAATACACTGACATTTTTAGTATTTTTGCAACCTTTCTCTTTTTGTTTTAAAACTAACTTTTGAAGTTTCATTGTAAATTCTTCTGGCAATTCCTTATTGTTCACTTTCGCTATATTTTTCAAGATGGTATTCGCTTCCTCGAGTCTGTCTCTCATCAGCAACCACCTCGGAGATTCGGGTAGTACAAACCAATATAAGTAGTACAATAGAAAGGGTGCTGATGTCACAAGGGCTAAAGATCTCCAGTCGCGTAGTAGATATGTGATTCCCGATAGTAAAATCAAGCCGAGAGTATAAAATATGCACGTCATGACTGTTACAAATGATCTGTAATTAGGACCTGCGAGTTCTAAAGCTGAAAAAGTCTTGCCTTTTATAAATTGATCACGTTATTATTTGTTTATTGTTGTTCTCGAACAAAATACTTACAAATAATGAATGGTATTTGATACACCGCTGGAATAGTCAAACCTACTATTGTCCTTGCTAGAACCCATATCCAGTACGTTTGGGCAAATGCCGTCATTATGCTGCCCACTAGAAGCGTTGTTAAGCAAGTAAAGAATGATTTCTTTCGGCCTATTCGATCGTTTAGTATCCCAAACGTGTAGACTCCTATAGGTCCTCCCACATTCAATGCTACTAGACCAAGAGTGGGGTACACATCGTACTCACAAACCAAATCAAACTGAAAATGTTTAACAACAGTTCAAAATGATGATATGGCTAGATTTTCACTTAATTCGTAATATTTTAAGAAAATTGTAATATTATTAATAAAATGGAAACAATATACTTACGTCGATTACAATTGATGATACAATTTCTGATAGATCGTATTCATACCCCTGTATGCATGATTCTCGAGGCCAACTTTCGTTTACAATTAATGGATAACCAGTTTCCATAATTTCAGTCCAGTTCACTGCATACCGAACACATTTCTCAAATATAAAGTCGTCAGCTATCTACACATCAGAAAAAAATGATATAATCTAAAATAAATTATTTTCACGTTAATAAAATTCTTTTTCGGAGTATTTGTTGTATTACGAGCCCACCTGATGCGGAATAGATAAAGATTTGCGATCCTCTTGTGTAAGATTTAGTTTCAAAAGCTCAGGAACTTTACACCAATGGTCTGGAACGTCTGCCATAAACAGCTGGTTGAAGGCACAAAAACCGCAAGGCAAGCATGCGGGCAGACACACTAGCCATAATAACAACTTCTGATATAGTCCAAATTCACCAATTTTTGGCAGTAAATCATCCAAATCGATTGCGTCTTCATTTATTTCGTTCACCTTAAAAAAAATAAGAACTATTTATCGCACTACCAAGCACTACGATTAAATTTTAATAAAGCATCATCTTAGCACTTCATTCCATAATATAAAAAACTATTATTATCATTTGAATTATCCTTCTTGTAAAATATTGTATTAGAGTGTTTTAGCAAAAGTATTTCAAAATTCCTTAAACATTGTTTGCTGTAGCTTCATTTTAAATAGGTTTTTAATAACAAAATTTTTAAATCTTTCGCAATGTGGAATCTAGTCAATTGATTCTCGACGGCCTACGTACAAGTAAAATCAAGGCGAGGGTTACACTATTGACCTAACTAGAAACTATTCACGGTTATGCACTTAACCTTAGCGTTCAAATAGATCTTTTTCATTTGTTATTTTTTAAAATCTATTTATATATCAACTTGAACATTCACTTATTCTTTATTTGATCACCATAAAATTTCACTTAATATGAAAAAAAACTACCACTGTTTTTTGTTGTGTGCCGTAATTTGTACATTGTTTGGTACTTTTTGACATTTCCGTTGTTTAAAGTGTTAGATTTTTTTTTCACCTCTTGTAAAATATAAAACAACACTATTGACAAACGGTGTCGTTTTACTTCTAGCTGATAATAACGATAGGTAGTGGCTTTAGTGTTCAGGAAGCCATATAGTATTAATCTAATTAATCAAAAGCATATGTGTTTATTCGGTAGGACGTGTTTGATCTTGGTACCTATTTAAAATATACGTAGGCCAAATAATTTCAAAAAGGTATTTAGGTAGAGTTTCCACCGTTGTACTAAGAAAACTTCCTTTGTGGCGTGTCTTATTTTTAAACTAAGTATTAAAGTTGGTACATTTATGCAAAAAAATACACCCGAGAGCAATTAATCCGGGTCACTTAAAGAATCCTAAAAATCACGCAAACTATGAATGCTAGCTTAATGAAAATAAAAATCTATTTCGACGTCTCGGAGAAAATAACCCAAGCGCATGGCTCGATTCCATAGAATATCTTTTTCTTGAGGTCACCATTAAAGGAGTTAAAATCATCCTGGGAGTAGTGTATTGTCCTCCCTCCATAAATTATTTCGCAGACTTTGAATTACTACTCAATTCTGTTGCTACTGACTACACACACCACATTGTCATGGGCGACTTCAACACTGACCTTCTAAAAGATAGCGCCCAGTCTCGTAAGTTTTGATCCTTAATTGAGTCGGTCAGCTTCTCAATACTTCACCTTGAACCAACCCACCACAATCATACCACTTCGGACTCATGGATCGATCTCATTTTAATAACTTCTCATGATCGTGTCATTAAACATGGCCAACTTCTGGCACCTGGCTTCTCCAGGCATGACCTTCTTTTCCTAGCATATAAAGCTAAACCTCCGAAGTCTAAGCCTCAAATCGTCCGAATGCGAAACTTTGCGCGACTGGATGTGGAGAAATTGAAAAGTGACGCGTATAGTATAGACTGGATTCCACTTTGCGAGGCAGCTACCATTGATAACATGATCTCTTATTTTAATAATGCCATCACGAGACTTTTTGACCGTCATGCACTTAAAAAGTGCTTCAAATTGAAGCGCCCACCTGCGCCGTGAATTACTGCTGGTGTTCGCATGGATACGCGGAAGCGTAATAAGTGCTTTCGTACGTACAAACGGTGCCGTACTGATTATAATTGGGAGGCTTTTAAAACTGCCAGGAATCGCTGCAACCAGATGGTGAGAGCTGCTAAACGCCAATACATTCATCAGAACATTTTGAATTCAAGTCCTGCCAATACATGGAAGTTTCTACGATCTCTCGGTTTCGGTAAATCCTCTCCTAAACACTGCCGGATTTAGGAGAGGGCAACCGGGGCGAAAGCCCAGGGGCCTCCACAAACGGGGGGCCCCCACAATAGAGAATTCGGAAAAAAAATCTTTCAAATTCCAACAGTTGGAATTTGAAAGGGCAGGGTTGGATTTAGGGCAGGGCATGCGGGGCAGTGTCCCAGGGGCCTCCCCAAAAGACAGGGGCCACAACAGAGATATTAAAAAAAATGTCATCGGGTCACTAACCAGAGGGGGGGAGGGCGAATCGTAAGTGGCCCTGCCTAGATTTAGTAGGGACCTCCCCACTTTATTGCCCCAGGGCCTCCACACCTCTAAATCCGGCCCTGCTCCTATACATATCTCTTCTGTTTCACCTGATGAACTTAACAAGCATTTCTCATCTGTCCCTTCTCTCCCGACTTCAGTCACTCTTTCTACAGTTTCTGCTATTACTTCCATGGTACCTTCTACAAACGATTCTTTCTGCTTTCGTCCTCTGACCGAAGATGAGGTTCGTAAGATCGTGCTCTCCATAAAATCAAAAGCAGTAGGTTGTGACGACATTGGGAGGGCTATGATTATGTTGATACTTGAATGTATACTTCCAAGCCTAACATTTATTTTAAATTTTTCTCTTACTTCAAGTACCTTCCCTTCTATCTGGCGACATTCTATTACTATACCCATTCCTAAAAATACCTCTCTTAACCACTACAGTCCCATATCAATATTACCTTTTCTCTCTAAGATTTTAGAAACTGCTGTACATAACCAACTGTCTTCTTTTATCTTTCGCCATGGGATACTTAGTCCTCTACAATCTGGGTTCCGACCCGGTCACAGCACAACCACTGCTCTCCTTAATGTTCTGGACGACGTTCGGAGCGGCATGGAGAAATCGCAGTTGACAGTAATGGTCTTGATCGATTTTTCGAACGCATTCAACATGGTCAACTACGACATTCTCCTTGCAATCCTTACTCACATGGGAGCCTCTTCTTCGGCGAGGACCTGGTTCTCTTCATATCTTCGTGGACGCCAGCAGGCTGTTCGAATTGATCAGACTATTTCAAGCTAGGCCGATATCACTGCTGGTGTTCCACAGGGCGGTATTCTTTCTCCTCTTCTTATTTCACTTTTTATTAATTTCCTCACTACTCTAATTCAGTCCTCTTACCATCTGCACGACGACGATCTCCAACTTTACGTTCAAGCTGATAAGCATAACTTAGATGCTGCTATCATATGCATGAACCAAGACCTAGAAAGAATTTCCGATTGGTCCAAGTGTTATGGTATCTATGTAAACCCATCAAAATGCCAGGCTATTATTTTAGGTAGTTCTCGACAATTGGCTACGCTTAAGCTGAGTAACTTGAATTCGGTAATGTATAATGGTAAAGTTATCCAGTATCTTCCTAGCGTAAGGAATCTAGGGTTATTTATTGACGCTACTCTCAGCTGGGAAGTTCATGTTCAGGAAGTTAGTCGCAAGGTGATCAACACACTTCGAGCACTGTATCGTCTAAAGCACTTTCTCCCTTCCTGAACCAAAGTTGCACTCGTCCAGTCTCTTATTCTACCTATTCTCGACTACGCCGACATCTGCTATTCTGACATCACTCAAAACCTTCTTATCAAATTGGATCATTTGCTCAACAGCGGTATTCGCTTTGTTTTCGGGTTACGTAAATATGACCACATCTCTCCCTTTAGAAAACAACTTCAATGATTGCCCATCAGTGGCCGAAGAAACCTTAGATTACTTTCCATGCTCTTCAAGCTTCTATACGATCCATATGCTTCAGAGTACCTGAAATCTAGATTTCAATTTCTTGGCACATCCAATCAACGTGATCTTCGCTCGTGCAGAAATCTCACACTGCAAATTCCCGTTAATCATTCTGGCTTTGGATCCAAATCTTTTACTATCACTGCCATACGCCTGTGGAATGCTCTACCACTAAGCATACGTAGTATTGACAATAAGTTTAAGTTCAAAAAACTTGTGCGTGAACACTACTTGACTACGTGATTTTTCCCTATAGTTTGCATCGATATATATTATATTTATTGTATTTTATGTATTGTATTTATATATATATATATATTTATATGTGTATGTTTATGTATGGTTATATGAGTATGTATGTGCATCAATTTGTATTTAAGTATTATTATTTATTTTCATTTTATTTAATTTTTAGCAACTTTGCCCTATCGCCATACTATTTGTCTCCAACATTCATACTGGTTGACTGGTAGAGAATGCCTATGGCATTAAGTCCGCGCTTTCCTTATGTTGGCAATAAAGTTTAAATAAATAAAATTAAAAAAAAAAACCTAAACTACTTAACCAATTTTAATTAAATTTGCACACTGTATGCAGTTTGACTCAAAAGATAGGATAGCTTACATCTCAATTTAAAGTCGTAATTTTACTTTATTGCAAATTATTACTTCTGGGCGGTACGAAGTTCGCCCAGGCAGCTAGTATTCTGTACAGATCCCACATAAGAAATGAAAAGGGTTTCTCGCGCTTTTAGCTTTTGAATACGTAGATGAAATAAAAAAGACAAAACTGTGTCCAAGGCGAAAACAAGAAGGATTTATTTGTTACCAATTCCTTATTATCTACAACACTGACGCGAAAGTTTTGCGCGATTCATAATGGTACAGCGCCATCTAGTGGCAAATGTTATAACTACTAATTGTAATATATTTTTTAATGCTTATTCGAACATACCGCCCACCATGAACCAATGGTTCATTAAATAATACCTAACTAAAAACAACAAACACTAAAAATAAAACAGCAAAATACATAACAAAATAAACAGTGGGTGGGCATTGGATACTTTTGGAAATTGGATAATTTGAACTTCACAAACATGCTAAAGTAACACATTATATAAACAGCTTGTTATAAGAAAACATATTATGTAAATGCAAAAAAAATGTTTTGAACGTTACTTAGCAATTGATAAAATACATAGTTTTGATACTGGTCTCTTAATTACATTACCATTACATCTTAGACTTACTACACGAGTAACATTGTCCAAGCCTGTATGTTTGTTTGTTATGATGCCATAAAGCCACCTTGCAGGAGGAAGGTTATCTTCTTTCACTAACACAATATCCCCTATATTTGGTTCAGGTGTTTGGTAACTCCACTTATACCTGTGCAAGAACTGTGCAAGGTATTCCTGCGACCATTTTCGCCAAAACTCTTGAACCATACGTTGAGTAAGTTGCCACCTCCTCAAGGTACTAACATTGGATGACATGTAATTGGCATCTGGTACTAACATAATGGGCTCGCCGACTAAAAAGTGTCCGGGTGTCAACGGCATTGGATCCTCAGAATTAGTACTTACACATGACATGGGTCTCGAATTGAGGCATGCTTCAATTTGAGCCAGCACTGTACTCATCTCCTCGAATGTGAGTGTCGACGTTCCTATTACTCTCCGTAGGTGGTGCTTGGTGGACTTTACACCAGCTTCCCATAACCCTCCGAAGTTAGGAGAGTGGGGTGGTATAAAATGCCATTCGGTGCCGTTGGAGGCCAACCATTGTGCTATTTCTGGTACCAAAGCAGATCGTTCTTCAGCGAGAAGAGATTTCAGTTCGCGAGCTGCTCCTACAAAGTTAGTTTCATTATCACTAAAGAGCTCAGAACAGTGACCTCGTCTTGCTACAAATCTTTTAAACGCGGCGATGAATCCTTTGGCTGTGAGATCACTAACCACTTCAAGATGTATGGCCCTGGTCGTCATGCATACAAACAAACATATATACCCTTTGTATGCATGATGACCACGGCCTTTTGATGCTCGGATGTTGATGGGACCAGCATAATCTATGCCGCTCTGCTTGAAAGGCTTATTAGAAGTTATTCTGGCAGCTGGTAACTGTCCCATCAATTGTTCTCGAGTACGGGCTGCATGACGAACACATACTACGCAACTACGTACAAACCGTTTCACTTGACTTTTAGCATCAATTATCCAATATTTCGATCTTAAGTAGTTTATCATTATTTGAGGACCCCCATGCATAGTTCTTAAGTGTGCTTCAGAAATTATTAAACTTGTCATATGTGACTTTGATGGAAGAATAATTGGATGCTTACTATCGTGACTTACCATCGCTCTACTCAAACGTCCACCTACTCGCATTATGCCTGCTGCATCGATAAATGGATTTAAAGAGGTAAGTTTGTGTTTTTTCTTAACCATACCATACTTTCTTAAACTTTCTAATTCCTCGTTAAAACTCTGGTATTGATATTGTTTGATACATATATATAAAGTTTCATTTAACTCTTTCCCTGTTAGCCATTGAGGAAGACTGTCAGAGTTGCGTTTTGTACTTCGTAATATAAATCTTCTACACCATGACATGACTCTGACGAGTCTATTCAATGTTGAGAATCTTACCCAAATAGAATTATCCTCCATGCTAGCTAGTGTTTGACAAACCTTTACCGATTTTTCTTCTGTATTCTCTCTCACACTTTGTATCAATGCCATAATCTATTGTTTTATCTTTAAGCCACTCAGGTCCAGTCTTCCACATTTCAATTTTACATAAATCGGATGGCATAACTCCACGTGAAGCGCAATCAGCAGGGTTCTCCTTAGATTGCACATGTGACCATTGTGATCTGTCTAAGCTGCTTAATATTTCCGATACCCTATTGGCCACGAATACTTTCCACCTGCTTGGATGCTTAACCAAGCAAGAACTACCGATGAGTCGGTCCATGCATGTGCTTGTTGCTTGGGGATTTTTAAAACATCACAGACTTCCACTATTAATTTTGTGAGGAGAACTGCACCGCACAGTTCCAGGCGGGGTATCGATATCTGCTTGATCGGTGCCACTTTTGTTTTGGATGCTATAAGATGGACGTGAACTTCTCCGTTTTTATCAAGGACATGCAGGTAAACTACTGCTGCAAAGGCTGCATTAGAAGCATCACAGAATCCGTGAAGCTGTACGCTTGTATCATCACTGCATGTTCTTATCCATCGTGGTACCCCAAAATTTGAGAGTAGACCCAATTCACTTCTATACGTGATCCATTCTGACAACAATTGAGGGGTAAGTTCATCATCCCACTGTAGTCCTGACATCCATAGCTTTTGAATGAATATTTTTGCTTTTATAATGACGGGGGCGAGCCAGCCTAAAGGATCATAGAGTCGCGAAATGTCTGATATAACTTTTCTTTTTGTTACAGGTTCATCGAGTGGAGCCAACTGCACTGCGTACGTAAAGGTATCACTATGCCTATCCCAGGTAAGACCCAAAATTTTTGTTATTATATCTGCTTTTATTACGATTTTTTTGTTTGTTTTTCCAGCTTCCTGCCCAGTATTTGCAATAGCTTCACCCACTTTACCAGCCTGTACTTCACTTTTCATCCATTCCATCATTTCTTCACTATTGCTGGCCCATTTCTGCAGTTCGAACCCTCCTTTGGTAAGTAATTCATTCAATTCTTGATATAATAGTTGACCTTCTTGAACATTCTGACAGCCACACATAATATCATCTATATAACTATGTTGCAGCACAGCTTCAGCAGCCAATGGAAATTGAGTGCCTTCATCGTAAACGAGCTGCTGCAACGTACGAACGGCCAAGTAAGGGGCTGAGGCAGTCCCAAAGGTCACGGTCAAGAGGCGGTAGTGCTGCAGCTCCGAATTAGGATCTTCTCGCCACAAGACACGTTGAAAGTCGATATCCTCGCGACGAATCAGTACCTGGCGATACATTTTAACGATATCTGACGTAAGACATATTGGATAAGTTCGCCATCTGATAAGAATATGTCTTAAGTCCGCCTGTAAGGTAGGTCCGACCAACAAGTCATTATTTAAAGACACTCCATTGGTGCCAGGACAAGAAGCATCGAACACAATACGAACTTGTGTCGTACTTTTGTCTTCTCGTACAACACTTAAGTGAGGTAGACAACATACGTCGACTTTTTCTATTTCCGTTGCTGGTACCTCTTCCATGTGACCTAAAGATAAATATTCTTTAAATACGTCTGAGTATCTGCTTTTGAGAACTGGATTTTTCGATAACTTTTTTTCCAAATTGTTCAACCTTTTAAGTGCAATCTGTTTAGAATTGCCTTTAGTACATTGAAAATTATTGTCCTTAAAAGGAAGTTTCACAATATAACGACCAGAAGCATCTCTTTTGGTCGTGCTTGCATAAATATCTTCGCACATCTGTTCCTCTTCCGTTAACATTTTTCTTGTTGTTACAGATACTGGATCCGATTCTATCTCCCAAAACTTTCGCAGTAAATCATTTTCATTCAATTGAAGATGCATATTCACTATAAGATTGTTGCATTGAATCGGCTCTCCAGCAGCTTCTTTTGTTTCTCCAGATATTATCCACCCAAGATAAGTGTTTTGAGCTATTAAGTAACTTGAGGGATGCTTTACTAAACCTTCACGTAAAACTTGACCGTAAACCTTAGCACCGAGTATCATATCTATCTTGTGCGGTGTATCGAAGGTTGGATCGGCTAACGACAATTGTGCAAATTGTGACCACAATTGAACTGCAACCTTCTTGCTTGGAAGAAGATTCGTCAGTTTGCTTAAAACATGAGCTTTCACCCGAATAACAAAACTAGGGTTGAGAAGTGATTGCATTTTAATGTAAACAACATTCTTAGAGACCACCGATGGACTCGTATCACTTCCCCACACTGAAACATAACTTTTGCTTGCTATTTTTTGCAGTCCTAGCAATTGGACTGCAGACTCCGTTATAAACGAAGCTTGAGAACCCTGATCTAACATTGACCTAAAAGTTATGTTTGCGCCTGTTCGGGACTCGTTATATACCAAGGCAGTTGCTAATAAAACTTGCGAGTGTATGTTGGAGAAACAACTTGTAAGAGCTTGAGCGGTATCGCCCTGAGGTATGGTTACTGTGGACACAGTTCCTGCACCGGCAGGTGGTTCATCTACGTTTTCCTTTACATTTTGACCTATATTGGGATTGTGCAATAAGGAATGATGCTTCCTTCTACAAATGCGGCATCTAGTTGGTTGACGGCATGCGATTACTGAATGACGAGAACCTAAGCAGTTGAAGCACAAGTTCTGCTTTTGGACTAAGTCACGACGTGAAATGACGTCATCATTTGCAAACTTTTTACAAGAATCAAGTTTGTGATTATCATTGCAATATGGACACACATTGGAAGTGACGTGAAATACTTTAACTTTATGTGGTACATTACGATTACTATTATTTTTTAAACTCTTAGTATCTAAAAACTCCAGTGCCCTAAAGCGCTGTTCCAAAAATTCTTTAAATATACTCCATGTTGGTAATTGCTCTACAGACTCACTAATTTTTATTTCCCATTGCTTGCGTGTTTCACAGTGTAATTTTGAACTTAAAATGTATATTACAATAACATCCCATTCGCTGACATTTACTCCTAATTGTCTCAAAGCATTAAGACATTCATTGCTAGTATCCAATAACTCCTTTAAAGCACTAGGCGATTCGACATTTATTATTTTTTGACTCATAAGACGTGAAAGAATGCAATTAGATAAATATTTTTTGTTATTATAACGATTTTCTAATTTTAACCAACAAATTGAATAATTGTCACTGGTGATGGGAACATGGCGCAATAATTGCTCCGCTTCGTCAGATAAATGGCTTTTCAAATAATGAAGTTTTTGGACGTCGTCTAATGACTTATTATTGTGTATAAGAGACATAAACAAATCTCGGAAACTTGTCCATTCTACATATTTTCCGCTAAACATGGGTAGTGTTATTTTAGGCAACTTTAAATTATTAGAAACATTTTCAGAGTTACTCTTTGATTTTACACTTAGATTTGTGTCACTTAACTTAAATTTACGCAATATTTCTTTTAATTCGGATTTGTAATCGATGTAAAAGTCTTCGGTCTCCGCATATAAATCTGTACTTTGATATACGGAGCTTTTAAGTTCACTTTGTGAAACATCTTCTATAATTTTCCGATGTGTGGTATAAAACGATTCCCACAGTTTTTCTAACATTTCAAGACGCGCTTCTACATAAGACATAGTTATACGGTCTTTAGGAGACTTTTTAAAATTAATTTTTGCTCTAGAAATGTTGGATGCAGTATCCGATTGAAGCTTAAACATCGACTCCATTTTCGAACTTTGTATTTTCTATGTATAAAAAACAAATGTATAAACAACAGAACAATAGATTACTTAACACCAATAAATCATCAGTAAATTTGGCATAAAATTCAATTACTACTTAAAAACACTCATTAAAAGGCGATAGGAATGTCCAATTTCGTTCAAACATCACGCAGATAAAACAGATGTAGGTAGTCACAGGTCGATTACGTTGAGAAAATATGCATGGAAGTTCAACTCGTAGTTATAAATTCGACGCAAACACGTAGATTAAAACGAAGAATGTTATGATTTCACGAAACTTTCGTCAATATTTTTGCATTTGACTTAAGTCTTTGCACCATATGTAAATGCATAAAATAGCAAAAATCAAACCACTTTCCTGCTTTTGGCTGTTGTAATATCCAATTATCTCGCCGTTATTGCATCTGCCAACTATTAATTTCTTCTTTATAATGTATAATGATCGCACACACGCACAACCACTAAGCCACTCCGACTCGATAAGGACCATGTACAGATCCCACATAAGAAATGAAAAGGGTTTCTCGCGCTTTTAGCTTTTGAATACGTAGATGAAATAAAAAAGACAAAACTGTGTCCAAGGCGAAAACAAGAAGGATTTATTTGTTACCAATTCCTTATATCTACAACACTGACGCGAAAGTTTTGCGCGATTCATAATGGTACAGCGCCATCTAGTGGCAAATGTTATAACTACTAATTGTAATATATTTTTTAATGCTTATTCGAACAATTCTATAGATTTACTAACTGACCCAGCGAACTTCGTACAGCCATAAAAATAGGGGCTGGTGTTAGAAGTCTGTAAATTTAGGATTGCACGTATAATGCCACATTATAAAAAAAATATTACCAAAAAATAAAAATAAATGTTTGGGGTGTGTAACGTAGTGTTCCATCAATTTCCTGGGATAACATTCCTCATAACCCATATGATAACACTACGTTACAATACCCAATAGTTTAGTTTAGTTTGGCGCGAAGGTGTATAGGAGGTTTCGGAACACTACGTTACAGGTGGACAACCCTTATCACTTATGGGTGTGAAAAATAGAGAGTAGCCGGTCCTCGAACCCACTGAATATGAATGTAAATTTTCATAAAAATCGGTCAAGCCGTCTTGGAGGACTATGGTAAATCACATTGTGACACGAGAATTTTATATGTATAAAAGATAAATCGCGCAAATTGCGTACGGAATCAAACAACGTAGCCCCTTAGCTGTAGTTATAAAATGTGCACTTCACCCTGCACGCGGTATCCCAGTACGCATCACATTAAATTAATTTAATTTAGATAAATTATCACGATTCGTCATTACTTACTAGTCGAGTCAATGAAGCTTTTTACCTGGAAACCCGGTGGAACAGCTTCGATTTTGATGATTTTTTTCTTAAAAATTTTGTTTTTTTATATTATTTGAAATCAGAAACCTCTGGAGAGGGGGAAATAATTTTTTATATTATTTAAACATCTATATAATCTAATATAATGACATGACGCTGATATACATAAAAAAGTTAGGATATTTTCCACGAAACATAAGAAATTAATAGTTTCATTATTAACATAAATTAAAAAAAAAATATTAATAAAAAAAATTGTAAATAATTATTTACAAGTACTTATATGTGGAAATAAGTTCAAGTAGGTTCAAACTAATGTATACAACAACATGCAAAAAATATATTATAAAATGTATAAAATTTATTGTAACATATTTACATGAAAAAGGGAAATTTAATCTTCATTATTATCATCTTTTTCGGGTGGTGGGTGATTATCACAGTCGCTTCCACTGCAAACGATGCAGGCAGGTGAGCAATGCAAGCCACTTTTTCTGCAGCCACACGCTGAGCCATATCCCGTTTTACGGGAGCAGAATATTATTTTTAAGACGTTTTCGGGTGCTGCGCGTTGCGTCATTTGGAGTTAAATAATTATCTATTTGCCAACCCCATTTTTCGAGGGGTATTGGTAAATCATTTTTCCACTGCTGTATTTGTAAATATACTCTTTTGATATGTTGTTTCGCTGCATCCGCTGTAGGAGGCAGCGAATTAAATTGAACGCTTTTATCCTTAGTGGCTAACGCTATGAAACGTTTATAGCGAAGTCCATTCAAGTTTTTGGCAGTTTTAGCAACGTACAGTGTGAGAATACAATAAATACCATCATTAAAAAGTACTTCTTCACTTTGGTCCTCAATCATAAAAGTTTCAGCTGCTGCACGTGACTTCGGAACCTCATTAAAAATTATAATACTTAAATTTATTTTTACCTTTATTATAGAAAGCGGATGTAGTGTCCTCATCACATCCTGTGAATGAATGAATAAACAAAAGATGCTCTTTTTAACATTTTCATATTGATTTAAACTTGTTTTTGTTGTTGTTGTTGTAAAGCACTATTTTTGAGCGGTTTCAGAAAGAAGAATTCTTTATCATCACTTGCTAGAGCCATTAATAACACCAATACATCAACATCGTACAATAATAATATCGTACATACAATAATATCGGCTGAGTGATGTGAGCAGTAGAAATATAAAACTAGTTGAACACCTGGCGTTGGACCTTAAATTCCTTTGCCAGGTAGAGTACCTGAGCAACAAAAGGTCAATTTCCATAGTGAGTAAAATTCTACAACTTAGTCAACTTTCTAATACAACATAAAATATTCAAATAAATATATATGAATATATATGAAATCATATAAATATATGAAGTAACTGAAATATAACGTAAATGCTCAACGCATTCGTATTATTGACCAATAAATCGTATTTTAATGGTTTAAATATTAAATTATTATTAAAAGCTTATTAAATATTATTAATTTAAACAATAAAAAAAAATATTTCCCCCCTCCCAAAGGTTTCTGGTTTTGAATAATATAAAAAAAACTTTTTTTTTAAAAATGATCAAAATCGAAGCTGTTCCACCGGTTTCCAAGTTTTGCCTGTTTTTTGTCTTTATTGACTCGACGTATGGTAGGTGATTCCTTGTGGCTTTTTAAGTTTACCCTTGTAGATTTTGTTGGGGGAGGCATTCGACCTTCACGGTAGAAGGTATATGGTGCATTCGAATATTAAGTTAATTTGTTTATGACAATCTGTTTTGCACATGCGCCGCATTCGGTATTTGACACACTTCATGTTCAACCGTTGAGATGTTTGGTCAGTAATAAGATAAGTTTATAAGAGCCGTGTTTTTAAAGATAATGTTATAAAATAGTGAAGAGAGAATGAAATAAATATATCGATACCTTTGGTTTGAAAGGTCGTATAAACCAAAACCCAACTTTTCAGGAGAGCGGAAAAACTATATTTTCTTACATAAAAATTCATAACTTTTTTGTTTTTGAAGTTATAAAAAAATTATCTATGAGAAAGGTACTTACAATTCCCAAATGAAAAAGGTTAAATCATCAGATCCTATCTATCTTCTTTAGTTTTAAAGCTAGCTTGAATTTACGTCTAAGAAAAAATAAATTCTTGGTTAATACTCCCCATGAAAATGTACTTTAAAAAACTGTATAGGTCGTATATTTTTGGTAAGCTTATAAGGTAAGGTTACATTTACTGTCGTAAAAACTCATATATGTAGTTTTTTTTTGTATTAAAAAGCATTTATAATCAAAAATCAATTTAATGCTGACTAATAAACAATCCTGTTACTCCCAGAATTAGTAGAAACTCAATTATTATTATGCTTATACCTAATAATGGTCGATTCAAATAAAATATAACTACCTGAAATACGAAATCAACATTTATTAAGTATTATAATACCTCCTAATCAACATTTACTATTATTTCAATAATGGTGCAACATACCTAACAGGTTAAACATTTTTACATTGAAAAACTAATTATAACAATTTAAACTGAAAAGTGAAATAAAAAAATCTACTTGGTAATAAAAAAACATAAAAAATATTCAAACTTCTTCTTAATTAAAGTAATCAGGAATTTTAATAATTTATAAAATTATGACTTGATCGTTTTTAAATTTTTGTACACATTTAAATATACTTAATTAAATAAATTATTGAATTAAGCCTTTAAGGCTAACTTACTTACTAATTTATTGAATTGCAACTAAATAAAAATAAACGATCAAGCACTAAACGTAACTAACTTATGTACTAAAAAGTAACTTATTTATGATATAAATTTGTATTCATAATTAGTTTAAATTATTTATGAATTATTACTATAAATTATTTCAATTATTATTATAAATTACTTTAAAACGA